GCAAGACTGAACATAAACGATCTTCTTCCATCAAGACGTACCACTATCGCACTCGAATTAGCAATATGAGCATGTAGAAATGCTCGACAACGTCAAAGTATGCGGGCAATACGCAAACAATAGCCGATCGGCTAGGATATTGCTAATTAGGACTGGGGGTGGCGTGATAGACGCCGATTCCCACGCATCGCGAAGGCCGAGAAACAAAAGAAGTCTATCCTCATTACGTAGTCACTTTTGGTTTCTTTCATGCAATTTTTTAATTAGCTTGCTTCACGCATCCCAACAATAAAATGGCGGATACTGATGCGCAACAACACGCTAGTGCTTTGTTGGTGAAATTATTGCTAATATGGTCAGTCTGACAGAAACAAACGTTCGCTAAATGTATCACAAGTATTTAACTGTAGCCGCAGGCTGTTATATTTGATCGAACACAACGTGTTTTCTGGAGTGCCCAAAGGTTCATTACTGGGGCTCATACTATTGACCACAACGTTTTTCTGGAGTGCCCGAAGGTTCGTTACTGAGGCTCATACAATAATCTTCTGGTGTAGATTTCTTTGTAAGAAGTCAAAATGACACTACGCGGATGACAATGAAAAATGAACACAATGATTCTTCTAATATAGATAGATGCTGCTTTCACTTTTGCGATACAGTAGTTGAAAATATAGTATTTATTTTGAACATTCAATGTTGTTGTAATATTTGAAATAACAAACTTCAAATGAAAAATGACACGAATAATCGTGCAAAACGCACGTAAGCGAATCGCACGTTACAAGGTAAGACATCGTAAATCCTTCTGAGGCTTGTTGTTTGTAGGCTGCAAAAACAGATTTCAACAGATATTTTACAACAGGTAATGTTTGTTCTGTTCACTATAAGGAAACAGTATAAAAATGTCTACTTCAGTAACATAAATCACGGAGAAGGTGGTTTCTATTTGAAAATGTTCGAACCAATTAATATATTTTTGTGTACTTACACGGTTTGTGCAACACATATGAAAATGTGAAAAACATCCTATCTTGTAGCTCCACTAAAAACGTGTGCGTGAATTTGCACACCAAAAATTGACTGTGTGACGAAAAAGCTTGCGAAAAACATATTTTGCATCGCGAAAAATCAAATTTAAATGGAAATAAAACTAAATAGGTAGATAAAAATGTAAAATGTGTCAGTGTAAAATACCTTTTAGTGTCTTTATCTGATAGTCACTTGAATATTTTCGTAGTAATTTCTTTTTACACATAGTTTTATAAAAATTAATGGTTGATAAAATGGTATCACTAATTGCTTGATTCTTGCCCAGAACAGACAGTAATGACGAAGGGTGGTCCCAGAAGTACCAGGACTAACCTAGAGATGGCGGTAGCTGTTCGAAAGATATTGTATTAGAAAGTACACAATCTATAAAGCATTTGTTTCAAGTTTGAAGACACTGCGTTGTTCAGTATTTGTGTGGCAGCCATCAATAGCGAATGTTTTGCAACGTTTGAATGAAGAAATCAAACAAAAACCGCTGCATTTGGCTAAGAAAAAAGTGTTGTTTCATCAAGACAATGCGCCAGCCCACAAATCCGTTACTAATATGACCAAAATCAACCAATTTAAGTTTGAATTACTACCTTATGTATTTATCCCCTTCCTTCGGATCATTTTCAGTTCGCAAACTTGAAAAAATTGTTCACTTGTCATAGATTTTCCAAAGATAAAGAAATGATGTCGACAATTAATAGTTATTTTGAGGAGCAACACAGTATCTAACTTACTGAACATCGCTGTTGGAAAGTGTCTAGAGCTGCAAGAAGATTGTTGAAAAAAATATATTTTTTCCAAATTTTATGTGTTTTCTTTGTTGGGCCTCGTACTTCTGGGACCAACCCCCCTATTTAGATGAATGTATTCAGTTTCAAATGCGAAATTATGTTGGTAATGGTATAAAATCAGCGACAGTTCTGTATAGTAGAAATCTTCAATCTTGACAGGTACTTATTATCTATTATTTGGTTATATCAAAGGAATTTACATACAGTGCATTTCTTCAATGTCCCCTCTTTCATTTATTGAACGGGTCACCAAATAAAGTATTCATGCATCAATTTCATTATCCCAAATTTCAATTTTTTGAGTTGACCCGTTGAAAAAATAAATAGAGGGGGGGACATTAAAGAAATGTACTGTATAATACATATAATTAATCAAATTCGTAGATACGAATCACATCAAATCACATGGACAAAGAAATTTTCGTAAAATACCTACATTTCAAAAAATTTCGGCCTTTTGTATTGTCATAATCAATTTGAAATATGTATATAGGTACCCATGTACGCTAGTTGATGAAGAGTTAATTTCCCCACCTTTCCCCTTAATCTAACATAAGATGCCGCTGTCTTACACCATTCAAAACAGGAATTCACATATCTTATCTGGACTTTTTTTCATTAAGTAATCGATAAACTGAATCGGAGATAAAGAATCTTGACTGATAAATTGAAGTTATTGAATTACCAGTGATCGATAATCGCTATACATTCATTTTTCAAAAAACTCAACGTGATTTATCACGGCTAATTATTCTCAATTAAGTTGTTAAGTTATCATTCTAAGTAGGTAATGAATTATTCATTTTACACTGACATACTCAGGGAAAATAATGAAAAACAAGTCAGAAGTAAACGAAAGCAACAAAACCAAATTCGAAGGCAGAAATAAAACGTAAAGGAGTAAAACAATAAAAATCGGTTGTGAATCTGCAAAACCAGTCGTTAAAACGTTAAGTTGGAAAAGAATGTCAACATTTCAGTGGAATTACTGAAAAAGTTTCTTTTACGGCTCTCGGATGGTTTTATTGGTAAATATATGTGTATAGTTAACACAGTCGCTTGAACGTATTAATGTTATTTCAAATTAGAAATTAGTGTTCCATTTATATAGCCTGGATCATTATTTTTATGAGGATCAATTTCGATCAGATTTAGCTCTACACAAATATTTCGAAAATAGAGATTTTATTCAATGTTGACATTCTTTATCTCAGTTAGTCATGTTATTAGATTATATCTTGTCTAACATCGCACTGCTTCACAAATAAAGACAGCGCCATGTCAGATAATGAAAGGGCAGACAAATATTTGGAGAAATCATACCACTTAGTGATGATATTGATGATTTCGATTCCTTATAAAAAGTTCTGAAGTTACATATAATAATATTTTTTGGTCACATAAACTTCAAATTTCAATTGTCAACAAACCTACTAGAGAAAAGTAATTTAAAATAAAAAAAATCAAAACCATTTGTTGAATATCGGACATTACTAAAATGTCTCTCCATTCATTTTGATCAATTGTTGTTAGAGTAATCATCACCATGTGGAAAGTTTCGCACAAAAAATGTATTCTGCTACACATATAGTTGTTCCGGAATCCAGACAAATTCATTTTTGCAGGGTAACTAGTCTTGTTATATATCAGTACTGAATTATTTTTGAGCACCTTTTGATTTGTTGCAGAATAATAAAATCATTGAGGTGAATCTCATTTCGTTAAATATAACACATTAAATAGAATAGAATTAAAGATATACTCCTATCTATCAAATGATTATTGAAGCCGACCTTATTGATAAAACAAAGGAAAGTTTTTATAGATTTTCAGAATGATTTAATTTAATTGAAGTGTAAAATTTGTTTTATGGGCTCATTTATATTTCACTTGACTCATTTAAATATTAGGACCTTCTTCCGTATTTGGGTTCGCACTTTATACAACTGAACCTTATAGGTATGGATATAAATGTTTCAGTGACTCAATTTATCTCATTCGATTCAAATAAATATAAGATGACTCACATAAATTAGATTTAGGCTTCATATTGAATTAAATGTACTGGTTTATATCACGCATGACTCATTTGAACATTCCCCACTCTCTGTCATTTGATTACAACACAAAAGCAATTCAAACTGTTGTAATGTATAAAAAAGCTCGTCTGACTCGAATGTATATTAGACGACTCACATAAATTAGATTTGAGCTTCAAATTGAAATTCATCAATTCAGTTATATCTGAGTTGACTAATGTGAACATAAGGCATATTTCGCAGACGATCTATTTCAACTAAAGTGAATTCGATTGAAGCTTTGAATTGAAATTCATCGACTCTGTTATATTTCAGTTGACTCATCTAAATATCAAGGCCTTCTTCTATATTTTGGTTGATATTTTGTACAATTGAACCTAATATCGAAATATATGTTTCAGTGACTCAGATAATCTCATTCGATTCGAATGAATATAAGATGCCTCATATACATTCCACTGAAGTGTAGAATTTGTTTTATCAGCTCATTTATATTTCACTTGACTCATGTAAATACTACGACCTTCTTACATATTTTGGTTAGTACTTTGTACTACTGAACCTATCGATAGATATGCTTCAGTGACTCATCTCATTAGATTCAAATTATTATAAGATGACTCATATAAATTAGATTTAGGCTTCATATTGAAAAAAAATCACTCATTTATATCGCCCATGACTCAATTGTACATCACCCACTTTCCGTCATTTGATTACAACACAAAAACAATTGGATCTGTTGTAATGTGTAGGAAACTTTGTCTGACTCGAATGGATCTCAGATGACTCATATAAATCTGATTTGAGCGAGTCAACTCAGTTATAAATGATGTGACTCGTGTGAACATTACGCACTCCCCCACTATAATTGAGATGTCGCAATTGATCTCCTTTCAATTCGAATGAATTCGATTTAAGCTGATTGAAGCTCAAATATAACTGAGTCATTGACTCAGTTATATTTTAGTTGACTGATTCACAATTAATAACTTCAGTTGACTCAAATGAATTGTCGTTAACTGGATAATGGAATTTCGAAACAAATACATGTATACCTTTCTTCGTAAACTCATTAGTCGAAAAGAAACCCTTCACCGCCCAAGCACCTTATCATTTTTCTTACCGGCGCTCGTTCTCGATTTGTTTCGCGGCTTGTTGGGCGACTGGGCGCCCTGCCCGCCTATGCCGCCCAGATGCTGCTTGTTCTGCGGCGAATATGCCGCCCCGTGAATACCGTGGGCATACGTAGACCCGTACGCGCCATCAAAGTTACCATTAAACATGCCCGAGGAGCCCCCTTCATATTCACTACCTTCTCGCTGCTTGTTGCTCGAACTCGACGATCCCCCCACCCCGCTAGGCTTGATGTCGAGGGCACAGCTCTGGGGGTTCTCGTGCATGAAGGCTCCCATCGCCGCCGCCACAGCGCTCTGGTACTCCGCCCCAGCCGAGGGGGCCACGGAATCGGGCGTGCTGTCCTTGGGAGGCGTCGGGGGGAACGAGAAGATGTTGTGCGCTTGCGCGGGCGCCGAACTGGGCGACTGCGACTTGTCAGGGTCGCCCCCGCCGAACGGGACCCACGGGCTCGAGTGGGTGAGCGGCTTCGCCCCATCGGAGAGCCAGGGGTGAAGAGGGGCGTGGAAGTGCGGCCTGCAGACTTGTCCGGATGACATCCTCGACGCTGAAACAAAAAGAAATTTGTTAGAATTGATTCAAAGACGATTGATATTATGGTGGCATTTATTCCTTTCCAATGTTGTCGTTGTTGATAAGGAGATATGACAAGTGTTCCGTCTCGAAACTTCGAAGTACACCTTTGAGAATGATACTGCTTCATGTAAGTGAAAACGTGTATTAGTAGTCTTTCATACATTGCGTTGTGTGGCCTTCCTGTGAATGATATTCGTTTCAATTCCATGACGACTAACTAGAATATACATACAAGTGACTTTCATGTGATTCTATTTTAATGTGGAAGTAATTAGTAATAATAATGATAATAATGAGAATGTCATTCACTCATGATTAAAAATAACGACAATACAAGTACAAATGATAAATTACAGACCGTGGCTGCTAATCGTTTTGAGGTTCAATCAGTATACCTTGAATTTCACTGTTTGAGAACTCTTGCATTTGTTTATGTGGAATAAACTTCCTAAGAACGTTTCTCCAAATGAATTTCATCTCCAGCGATTAAAATTCAACATGAATCGCTAATTTCGTACAGGCACCGCTCTCAGAGCGCCTTAAGGATTTTCCTGCAGTGCATGTGTTTTATCCTTGGAAAAAATTAATAAACGAATGAACTGATAATCGAAAAGTAACTTAATATCTGTTTCGAAGTGTTGAAACAAAAATAGAAATACACAAAATATAAATAAAAAATGAACAATTTGACAAAAGTTTGAACAATTTCCTGATTTTTTAAAAACATTTATACACTTCACACATTTGCTTACATACCTAGACGCACACATACATAATTGGATATATACGAGTACATAATACATAAGTCATGCCCTAAAGAAAATGACGCCAGCCGCCACTGGTAGCCATAAACCAATTGTGACGTAACTAGGAGCGCGCGGATGTTCGATGTTCGCTACCGTACGAGATGTGGCGATAATAATGCTACCGGCTTCGGTGGAATCCCAAGGAATTTTCCAGCGCCTTCGATTGCCGAATATAAGCGACATGAACTCGACCATCGACACAGTCAAGGGGAAGTTACAGTGCGTTATGCGGAGCGATCTTGTGAGGCGATAGACATTCGAATGATAGTTGAAGTGTTTGTTGTATTTGAAATTAAAGTAAAGTTAAGTTAAATTATTGTTAAGTGTAGTCAATTATTGGCAAAGCCACGGGGAATACATAACAGTGCAATAACCTGTACAAACCAGATTACATTTCATAAATTTATTGATGTTTTCCTTCGATAATGTCACTAGTTGAACTTCTAGGTGTTTTTTGAAAAAAATCTAATAGGATTTTGGTGCAATATAGGGAAAAAAACTTTGTCAAAAAAATATTGACATGAAAGGTACAATGTTTTTTTGACGGGTATCATTACAATGAGTTGATACGTGTTCCAGATCTTTTATTGAATGATCTGCTGACTTTCAGGTAATCCAACGGTCAAGTCGAGAACATTGATATCACTGAAAAGAGTTTCAGATGGATATCTATAGTTTTTCGATTATTTTATTCTCAAGAACGTTTTATGAATAATTTCTTACGATTTGAGACCCCGTTACATAAATGACTTTCGACCAAGGCATGATATAATGTCTTTGAATGATAATAATCCAGTAATCTTTTAAGATTTTCAAATTGATTTTAATTAAAGTTATTGTTTGGAGTTTTTTTATTACACATGTGATAATGATCATCCCACATCGATATGACTTTTTCTTTTCGCATAATCCAATGTTTATGTGAAAGTAGTTGTTTGAAAAGGGTATCTTCTTCCAGTTTGTATGTGAAAGAAACTTCTATACATATTTGTGAGGAGTTTTCATTATAGTTTTTCTTAATAACTAGTAGAAAGCCAAAACAAGAAAAATTAAAACAACTTCTATAGTATCTGAAATGAAGCAATATTCTTGATTACGAATGTAAACATAGCATATAACGACTTGCCGTGTTGCGCACATTGTCCGGCGTGTTCGTTGAAAATGCAGATCAATAAGGTCCAAATCGATATTGTATAATAAACCCATTACATTAACATGTCTCCGAAGACAGTTTTTTCGCTTTTGCGCCAACAAATATTCGTAGTAATTCTATGGGCTGTAGATAGGTGTGTGCGGATTTATTTTAATACAGATTGATTATTCATTCGATTATAAAAGTACCCACTGAAGATTTCAACAAAATAATCGAATTGATGCACAAGTTTCGGCGAAATAATAAAAACATGTTGAGGGTGAATCTGTTATGAATACTGTGACTGTAAAAGTATATTGGTCAAACCTGGCAGTGAAGTTGAATTAGATTCAAAACTCAGTGTTCTGTTTTAATGAATTGCTCATCAATTTTGCCCTCAAAATTCTATTCTGGGCTTTGACCACATCAACATTAAAAAGCGTAATGTTTCTTCTCTTCATATTTGTGGACTGGTGGAAACCTGGCTCACGTAAGAAAAGTTCTAGTAACTTATTATTAGTGTTCCCTGTCCTAAGGATAGTAAAATTGACAAATCACAGACAATACTAAACTGTATGAAAATTCAGTATCAACTAATTGACTTGATCTCATGAAGCAATAACATTTTCAGTGAGTTTCAGCAAAATTTCTATCAATGGCCTTGAACACATCAGGTCAGGTTAGAGACTTATGAAAAAATAGTCATAGGAGAGGTACACCCAAGCTTTTACAGAATAAGTTGGGATCGTTAGTAATTATGTCCATTAGTGAAAGGGTTAAGTTTGTTCCATACCTTGTGGAAGCGTCAATCAGTTGGGATAGACTGCAGTCAAATAGAATTTCATCAAAAATGGAACTAGTGTCATTTGAATTGGGTTTTTTTGTTGTTGGTCATCTCGGTGAAGGATAGTTGAAGACTCCAAATGAGACCAAATTAGCATAGGACTCTAGGAAGGTCAGTATCCATGTCCTTAACTGTCCTTGGTATACACCTACACCACGTGTGTGTCGGAGGCATTGAGTCAAGGTCATTCCCAGCATGATTCGATTTCTATTTCCAACCAGTGGTCGTTATACATCGCGTAAGTCCGTTATTTAACATGAGCTGAAAAGAAAACGCGTTTTCTTGTTCAAAATTAGCGTCATTCATCAAGGCAATCTCCATTAAGAGCCACAAATCATTCCAGCGCAGCTCTAACATTTCAATACCACTCTTGTAGAATGATTCATCTTTTGTCTCAATATTGACCTCAGTTTCAACAATAACCCCTTCATTCGAGCAAAGTTTATTACCGTTGAGCATTTTTTTGAGGTCTGCGAACAGCCAGTAGTCGCTGGGAGCCAAATCAGGCGAATGCGATGGATGTGGGAGTAATTCTAAGTTCAAATCATGTAGTTTTGCCATTGTTCTGATCGACTTGTGACTCGGTGAGTTGTCTTTGCCATATGCGGTCGTTTCTTCGCAATTTCGGCGCTTCAATAACGCTATATAATATTCACTGTTGATGGTATTTTCCTTCTCAAGATAGTCGATGGATATTACACCACGCACATCCCCAAATACCGGGACCGTAACCTTTCCAGCCGAACACTTTTCAAGCCATTGCTTCGCTTGGACGGTATTTTTTCCAGCAAGAAGCAGTGTAAAATTAAAACGCGAAATTGTTTTTGATCCATTGTTTTGAAAATAACAAACGTAGTGTCACTCTTAGCAGAATAGCCCCCAAACTATTGAGTAGAACATCATGAAATTTCAACAGCTCCCTTTTGAAGGTTGGTAATAACTGAAAAAGCAGTGAATGTAATAAGAAAAGTGCGATCTTTGTCCCGAAACTTTTCATCTCATGTAGTACAATCGGTAATATTCACAACGGACAAAAAAAACTATTGTTCTGTTCAAAACATACCATTCTGTTCAAAACATACCATTCAGCCTTATAATTTACTTGAAACCTTACAAAATACTCTTATATCGTCACGAATCGAAGTCACAGTCACTTTAAGGAAACATTATAGAAATCTCGTCACCGCCGAATCCGTGAATCCAAAATCGTTCTTCGTGATTACGAGGCGTCTACCAACGATCGAGTCGAACAGATAATTTCGCAAAGGCTGTAGTAATAATTTTCATGAGAACGAGTAGGTATTCGAGGTTTTTTTCAGCCGAACAAACATGCACACAACTCTATTTGCAAAATGGCCGTAACAAAATCGCTGCAGTAGCAGGGGCGAATCGAGGAACGAATTTAAATAGGACGCAAAAAACACTGTAATTTTGTTCACAACAAAAATGAAGGAAATTCTGACATCGTGTAGGATATGACACATAGAATTGATCTATTGAAAACACATTTTTCGCGCCAGAACAAAAGTAATGTGTTTAGACGTGCGTTACATAAGTGCCAACTAAGTTTGCATCATCAGGATATGACTAAAACTGTCGAGTTCTGCCACACCAGAGCAAAAGTACTCAAGTACCCAAAGTACTCAAGAAATCATTAGCTATCCTTAACTGAATTTCACTAGTTCGGACTTCCATTGTCTACTATATAAAATGATTTGAAATCCCTGAAACAACTAAAAAAGAAGAATTAAAAATGAATAGTTGAAAATAAGAATTATATTACCCAAAATAAACCAGAAATGAATTAATAGTGAAATAAAATACAAGTAAAAATAGAAAGAAAATAAAAAGAAAATAAAAATAAGAAGTGGAGCGATTCCAAGTCACGTTAGTTCACGACGTTTCGATTGTTAGTATCTACAATCGTCTTCGGGTGATGACTGGACTGATTCCTCCGAGAGATGACTATTTATAGGTCGTTCGAGTACTTTCACTTATCCCCGCTTTCCATTTTCCGCTTCACTGGTTCCGTGGAAGATGACCGTTTTGGCGGGAGTTGGCCGTTTTTCGCTTGATGATGGGTTTCCATATGTTGCGTATTTCTACGCTGGCTTGGTTGAATACGTTATTGGACAACATGTATGCGGCTTCCTTGAATTTTCTCCTAAACCAATGTTCCTCTCTATGCA